CCATTTGTCTGGTCCCGCAGGCTTTGTTGGAGGGGGCGTGTTGAAAGTCCAACATCGCCTACCTCATGTCATTTGGTATGGTTTAAATACATGTTAGGCTACTCCACATATTGCCAATTGGTTTTATGTTGGAACCTTAACAAAAACCTAAAATAGACTTAACGCGGCTAGGTCCCCAAATGTCAGAGTGAACCACGGCAAAAGGGGACGAAGCACCACGTGTGAAACTACGAGGAAAGGAAGTACGACTATGCTTTCCTAATTGACATGACTCACATGCCAAACTAGATAAGTTGGACAAGGCAGGGAAAAGTTTATGTAACTTGGCAAGACTTGGATGACCTAACTGAACATGAAGAAGAGAGGGAAACTCCATAACTGTACTAACATGTGTAGAGGGACGGAGATAATAAAGACCATGAGACTCACATCCTGTGACAATCACCTGTTTCGAACTCCGGTCATGTAAACACACAGAATTATTGGTAAAAGTAACAACACAATCAAGAGAACGAGTTAGACGACTGATGGACAACAGGTTAAAAGGAGACCCAAAGACATAAAGAACATTATCAATGGTTAAAGAAGGAAAAAGTTTAACCGTTCCAACACCATGAGATGATACTCTAGAGCCATCAGCCAGTGTAACAGAAGGTAAATGATTAGGAGAGGATAAAGAGGAGAACAAAGATTTGTTACCAGTAATATGATTAGTGGCTCCTGAATCAAAAACCCAAGGACCAAGAGAAAATGATTGGGTCAGACCAGCAAAATATGTATTTGTATGTGTGACAGATATAGTGGAACTAGAAGACTGTTGATCTTTATACCATTCGAGAAATTTGTTGAACATAGCAGACATGTCTGATGCAAAAGAAGAAGCAGGATCCCCAGCAGATAAAGGTGGGGAAAGATTGGTCTGAACAACTGCAGCAGATCGAGGAAGACGAGCATGTAATGTATAACACTTGTTAATATTGTGACCTAACTTGCCACAATGTTCACACTTAGGACGCCTTTTTCCCTGTTTGCGAGGGCGAATCTGGTCATCACAATGGGATGTCAACACAAAAGAATCATTAACAAAATTGGAAATAGTAGAAGTGGAAGAAGTCATGAAGAGCAGGAGAACAAACCCTAAAACAATCTAAAGTAATCCAGTTAACCCACGAAGCACAAATCCAAAATAAGTTCGCCAAGACTAAACGGCGCAGGAGACAACGGGACAACCAACTCCGATAGTGGTGATCTCAACGGCACGGTGGTCACCTGACCGAGACAAGCAAAATCATATGTCACCGGTAAAAAAATATGAAACTCTGGCGAATTTTTCGGCAGCGGCGGATCCGGTGACTGCTCCAGCGGCAACGATGACAGCAACGTAAACCAGTACACCAAGTAAGTTCCCAGGAAAGAGAGGTGGGTCACTAATGGACATACTTAAATACCAAGTCTTTCCTTGCCAGAACTTTCCTAGACATGCACTTTCACACTACCAAATAAAATTCAGTAACAAAGATAATTCTTTTCTGATGTGGAGGATCAGTTTACCAGCAGCGGTGGGGCGGCTCTCAGCAGTGGACAAAGGGCGAAAAAAAAAATTCAAGATAACCTTAAGCTCTAGATACCATATTGAATATAGAGGAAATAAGGTTTGAAATTAATCTCCCTTGTGTATAAATCACACATAGGGTAATCTATTTATAATAGAGAGGTACAATTAAAAGAGTAACCGAAAGTAAACAGAATAAACAAAAGATATTGTTTGATATTGTGGTTAATAATACGTAACAATATCAAACTATATCTAAACAATATCTAACATGAATGTGATAACCTTACATTTTGAATAATGTTAAAAGTACATAATTATTTTGGCATTAATATTTCACTTTTATGCCGTCAAGAAAGATTTAGACTGTGTCTGCATATGATGTACATGTCACTACCGTATATGTAAATAGAAAAATTATTTAGCACCATAAGTATCATTAATATCAAGTTTCAAACGTTGAAATAATTTTTTTGAATAACTTTTTGAAAGATAATTAAGTTATATTACCTTTGTGTGCATATACATAGTAGCATGTCAGAAATATCAGAATTATACTGTCCCTTGAAACCCATTGAAATCAACTGTTAAATAGTCTTGTTATCTTTTCAAACTTGTTTTTTGAATGATTTGGAAACCACCAGATTTTTTGAAAGTGCTTTTCCAGAAACATTTTTCTGAACCAATAGTAATAATCACTTCATATTCATTGTTTAAATGGATTAATAATATTCTTATACAGTAATACTTAAGATTACAACTACTTTGTTTAACTAATCTGCATATATGAGTATCATAAAATAAAGTCTTCAGTAAAATTTAATGATTATAGATTAGAAAACAATGACGTACGTGCAAGTAGTGTATTATCTTCCTTGTTCTGTTTCCACTGCAACGAATCCAACCTCTCGCATTTAAGTTTGTGATCACAATGCCAACAATTTCAGAAGCAGATAATTAACAAGAAACATTCAACTTCAATTAAAGAGCACCGTAAAGCAACCTCCTAAGCCAGTAAGATCTGTACAATATCACAGGAAAAATGTTGTTATATAAAGCCTTGAGTTCCCCATAATTCTCCATCCACAACTTAAACCAACACCACATCCAAAAGCATCCTTTCGATATGGCAGCCTTGTCAAGTTTTTCTCCTTTGGCCATTCTTAGTTTTGTTCTAGTGATTGCAATCATTGTGTCTGGGGCTGAAGCAAGGCCAAGGGCATTCTTTGTGTTTGGAGATTCGCTTGTTGATAATGGAAATAACAATTACTTGGCCACCACTGCACGTGCTGATGCCCCTCCTTATGGCATAGATTATCCTCCAACTCATTCACCAACTGGTCGTTTCTCCAATGGCTACAACATTCCTGATCTTATCAGTTCAGTTTACATCTCTCTCTCTTCTACCTTTTTTTCTTTTGCTTCAATGGTCATCTTTTATCTTGCACATTTGAGGTTTTCAACCCTTTTTGGTCATGTAGCTTTGCATATGATAATGAACTTGAAAAAGACACAAAGTGTATGTCTAACTACGAGGGTTGTGTTCAGGTCAGGAACTTGGTGCTGAGTCTACTTTGCCATACTTGAGTCCAGAACTAAGAGGAAATAAGCTCCTGGTTGGTGCCAATTTCGCTTCAGCAGGAATTGGAATCCTTAATGACACTGGAATTCAGTTTGTAAGTTCATTACTTATCAAGTTTTGTTCGAAACCTTAAAAGAATCAAAATATACAAAGGAATATTAACTGAACTTGAAAATTATTGCAGGTGAACGTAATCAGAATGTATAGACAACTAGAGTATTTTAAAGAGCACCAAAACCGAGTGAGGGCTCTAATTGGAGCTTCACAAACTAAGAACTTAGTGAATCAAGCACTAGTCCTCATCACTGTAGGAGGCAATGATTTTGTTAACAACTATTTCTTGGTGCCCAATTCAGCAAGGTCTCGCCAATACCCACTACCACAATATGTGACGTATCTCATATCTGAGTACCAAAAGCTTTTGCAGGTAGCACCCTGTTGATAAACAAAATGGTTAGCACATAATGTGTTGTAAACACTATTTGTCTCATTAGTGATATACATATGTTGCAGAGGCTGTATGATCTTGGAGCTCGGAGAGTTCTTGTGACAGGCACAGGACCTTTGGGTTGTGTTCCTTCAGAATTGGCCCAACGTGGCAGAAATGGACAATGTGCTCCAGAACTGCAACGAGCTGCAGCATTGTTCAACCCACAACTGGAACAAATGTTACTACAACTCAACAGAAAACTTGGACGGGACGTTTTCATTGCTGCAAACACAGGAAAATCACACAATGACTTCATCAGTAACCCCCAACAATTTGGTACCACACACTGCTCACTAATGATTTTTCACACTCATCGGTTTCTAATTATGGTCAAAATCTGTGTCTACTAGTGCTGTCATAAGGAAATTATGAAGCAATGAACTAACATTTATATTTGGATATCTGTGTAGGATTTAAAACGTCACAAGTGGCTTGTTGTGGGCAAGGACCTTACAATGGTCTTGGACTGTGCACACCACTCTCCAACCTGTGCCCCAATAGAGGGGAGTATGCATTTTGGGATGCATTCCATCCATCTGAAAAGGCCAACAGACTTATTGTGAAGGAAATCATGTCAGGTTCCGAAGCCTACATGAACCCTATGAATCTCAGCACCATCTTAGCTTTGGATGCTATCACCGCATGAAGACACAAACAAGTCTATGCATCTATGCTATAGTTTCATGATGTTCTTCGTTTATTATTGTTGTAATCGTGATTTAGTTTCGTATTTTTTAATGTCTGTTTGGGGAATTAGAAGATTAGATTAAGGAAGAAACTTCCCTTTTGCATAAAATTAACCAATGGAGAATTTGTGTAAATGGTGGGAAGTACCACGTTATTCTTGAGTCTCTTGAAAATATATGTTGTCTTTACCATAATGTTTTCATTTTATGCTTACCTTTCTTAATAAATACTAAAAAGTGAAAGGAAAAGATGTAAAATAAAAATATACATACAAAATAGGGTTGAATTGAAGCTTTTTTCTTATTATGATGACAGTACTATTCAAGAACTTTGTTTTACTTTTTTGGAATGTTATTTGCTAACAAACGGATATTAATCATAAGATAAATTAAATCTTCAATGGTAATTGTGAAAGAGATTTTACTTAAACCTTGATAAATCATAAAATGACAATCTTTTAATTATAGATTATAATAATGGTATCATTGTGTAGTTTTTGGAATAATTAACGAGGTACAGTACATGAAATAACGGAACTATGAATGAACAAACACAGTTTTAATGTTTATGACAAATGCCACCAATTTTACGACAACATTAATTTTTGAAATAAAGAGTACTAAAGGGTCCTCCAAAACTAGTAAGACGATGAGTATCAAATCTTGCGACAGATATTTTAATGACGACCTCTAGTCTTCTTCCAGTATCGTCCTCACCACCGCCACCATTAGGGTTGCTGCAAGTTATTGTTGTCAAATTATGGAAGATGATGAAACTCAAAAGAATAGGTCAAAAATTGTGTGAAAATTTATGGAGTTGTGAAAGGAGTGAGGTGTGAAAGGGATGGGATTTTGGAAGCCTTGGTGGAAGAAAATGATTGGGTAAAAATTTAAGGCGTATCAATGGTGGCTTTCGATACCACCTTATATAATTTTATAGAGAAAAAAGAAAAATAAAATAAATACAACGTGTGTCTTATGTAACTTATTTCTCAGGTATAATTTGCTTTATTTATTTTTGAAATAGACAAATTTATAAAAAAAATATATGAATAAGTGTGTATGACTTCATAATGAAAAAAATGGTACTTCAAAATATTATTTCTTTTTTTTTCTTTTCACGAGAAGTCATGTTTCAACAATTTTTTTTTTTTTACATTATTTAAGTTGTCTTTTAATTAATGAATTTAGTTTAATAGAGATCCCAATGGGTGATTTAGTTCATATATATAATTTTTTTAGGTTAATTTTTTTAGTTTTAGTTATTAAAAATTTTATGTTAATATTTATAAAATTAATAAAATAAACAATTAATATATATATATATATATATAAACGTTAATAATATTAAACAACTTTTTAATCTATTAAATTGTTAAAAAAGAAAATATTAATATGGTGATAATAAAAATAAATAAAAAAGAAGTTAAATACACATTAAAAAAAATACAACATACATTACAAATTTTAAAAATTAAAAAAATATATTGAAAAGTAATGGAATGTCTCTTCCCTATTATTCATTGTTATTTTTATATTCATTTTTATTATGATGTTTCCGTAGGTAAAATTAAAGATGTTAAAACCCACAGTTTAGCCCAGCCTATTTTCTAGTCTTAGAGGTCAAGTAAAAAAGAAATTATAATTGAGTCTAACTTATATTTTAAAATAAATCAAAAATTTTAATTTAGTTTAATTCTATATTAAATCAACGGATTAATTTTAATCTAAATGAATTTAATATATATATATATATATATATATATATATTGACGTATTTATACAAAATCAATTAATTAAAAATATTTAAATAAAAATTTAAGATTAAAATATATTTAGAAATTTCAAATTTTATTAATAAAATTAATTATTATTTAAGATACAATAATTATTCATTCAATTTTAAAATAAAAATTAAAAATGTATTATTTATTTTTTATTATTTATTTCTAATAATTTATCATTTAAATAATAATTAATCTTAATCATAGATTTTGAAATAAGTAATTATTAGAAATTTATTTAGATATTTATTATTAAATAAGTGAATTCTAAATTAATTTATAATATATATAATATTATTTTTATTTTTATTTAAAAAATAATTATTATTCTATAAAATGGTCTCCTCATAAACTTTTAGATTAACTTGGTTTAAGCTCATATATCATATAAATCATAACTTAAACATGTCCTACCTAAATAAGTCCGGTCAAAATAAGTATAATTTAATTTAGGCTATAATTTTTTTTTTTTTAACCTTTTCAGATTTTTCAGATTCCAAATGGAATCGGTGAATTGATTAAGTTTATTTTGATATCCCGTAAAATTGAACAATAACCATGGAAGTTGTTTAATTGTATCCGATGGTGTGATTGATGTGATGAAAAATATATTTGATTAAAATGGAGAGGGATTTATCCAAAGTGAAATTAATCTGATATATCTTAAAATGGTCAATATATCTACTGAGTAGAAGCGGTTAAAAGCTAGATGAACCTTAATTATGACATGAAGTATTGAAAAGTTTATTGGTTGTGTGAACGTATTTGATATACTTCATCATTTATATTCTTTTACTGTTTAAGAGAAATATATTATATAATATATGGTAAATAATATCATTGAATATATTACGTAATTTTACATAATAGGGGAAACATTTATAATAGCTAACTTTCCTAAAATACTTGGAAAAAAGGTTGATTATAGAAGGTTACATTTTTATTTTATTTTTTTACTTTCTTCACGTTCATTTTTATTATTTTTAATTTCAATTTGATTTTTTTTAAGTAAGTAAATGTTATTATTTAGTCACCAATCCTACCTCAGAAAGGCTAATTTCAATACTTGTCAAAATTTGAACATTTGACCGTTCTGCTAGTTTGATGTTATTATTAGTAGTTGGAGTCATTAACTGTTTTTGGGCTCAAGCTAGCTAGACCAAGAGCTACACAATGATACCAGAATTGGCGGTAGTAATATTAAAATATATTATTTTAATTTAATAGAAATTTAATTTGAAAAAAAAATTATTAAGCATTCAAAATAAAAATGGGTCATAAACATGAAACATTTAAGGCTTTAATATATGATGAACTAATTAGTAGTACTTTCATATAACTCCACAAAAAAGGCAAAACAACATTGTAACATGTTGTAGCTTTTGAAATGAATGTAGCATTTATCCTCCATTGTAACTTCTGGTAAACGGATGTTATTTTCTTCATAATTTGTTCCTCACTTATATGGAGGAATACAGCAATCACAATTACAATTAATAAACTAAAACCAGTAGAAAGCAAGATGTGATGAACTAGCATGGAAGGTCATAAAAGTGCAAGGATTATTGGATTCTCTTATCTTCATGTGGTGATTGCATCCAAAGCTAGGATGGTGCTGAGGTTCATAGGGTTCATGTAGGATTTGGAACCTGACATGATTTCCTCCACAATAAGTTTGTTGGCCATCTCAGATGGATGGAATGCATCCCAAAATGCATACTGCCTTCTATTGGGGCACAGGTTGGAGAGTGGTGTGCACAGTCCAAGACCATTGTAGGGTCCTTGCCCACAACAAGCTACTTTTGATGTAATAAACCCTGCAGAAACCAACAACAACAACACAAACATTAGAGCTTAAAATTGTTTCTTTGTTACTTTACTAGTTAGAGCTAGGTTTTAGAAATTATGGGGTTCCTATAACCATGGCAATTACATTGTGACTGCAATCTGCATCAAACACAATTAGACCACATTAATGGCAATGGCTGTACACAACTGCAAGCACAGTGTAACACCTTGATAAAGTGGATATAGAGTTAGATGACATCAAAGGTACTTAGTAAGTAGCGTGTAGTACCAAACTGTTGGGGGTTAGTGACGAAGTTGTTATGCATTTTTCCTGTGTTTGCAGCAATGAAAACGTCCCTTCCAAGTTTTCTGTTGAGTTGTAGTAACATTTGTTCCAGTTGTGGGTTAAACAATTCTGCAGCTCGTTGCAGTTCTGGAGCACATTGTCCATTTCTGCCACGTTGAGCCAATTCTGAAGGAACACAACCCAAAGGTCCTGTGCCTGTCACAAGAACTCTCCGAGCTCCAAGATCATACAGCCTCTGCAACACATGTATATCACTAATATGAGACAAATAGTGTTGACAACACATTATGTTTTAACCCTTTTGTTTAATCAATAGACTGTTACCTGCAAAAGTTTTTGGTACTCAGATATGAGATACTTCACATATTGAGGTAGTGGGTACTGGCGGGACCTTGCTGAATTGGGAACCAAGAAGTAGTTGTTCACAAAATCATTGCCACCTACTGTAATCAAGACTAGCGATTGATTCACCAAATTTTTGGCCTGTGAAGCTCCAATTTGAGCACTCAGTCGGTTCTGGTACTCCTGAAAATATTCTAGCTGTCTATACATTCTGATCACGTTTACCTGCAAAAGTTGCATGCAACATCAATTTTAAGTTCAACCCCTTATAGTAAGAATTAAGTATTAGATATCAATGGAGAAAGTTACTAGATGGTAAGTAATTAATGAACTTACAAACTGAATTCCAGTGTCATTAAGTATGCCAATTCCAGCTGAAGCGAAGTTGGCACCAACTAGGAGCTTATCTCCTCTCAATTCTGGACTCAAATATGGCAATGTAGACTCAGCACCAAGTTGTTGACCTGAAAACGACCCAATCATCAGACAAACACTTTATGTTTAATTTATTCTTATAGGCAAATTTAACTGCATGAAAAAAAAATGTTCAGAACTTCAAATGTGCATCATGAAATAAAACTTTAAAAGATAGATGTTGAAGGCAGAGAGGGTTGAAAATGTGGGAAGAGATAAACTGAACTGATAAAGTCAGGAATGTTGAAGCCATTGGAGAAACGTCCAGTTGGGCTATGAGTTGGAGAGTAATCAATGCCATAAGGAGGGGCATCAGCACGTGCAGTGGTAGCCAAGTAATTGTTATTTCCATTATCAACAAGTGAATCTCCAAACACAAAGAATGCTCTTGGCCTAGCTTCAGCCCCAGAAAAAATTACTCCAACCACTAGTAACACTAAACTAAGAATGGTCAAAGTTGCAGAACTTGGCAAGAATGTCATATTGAAATGGATGTGGGGTTGGTGTGTCAACTAAGTTGAGAACTTGCTAATTTTGAGATGTGGATGAGGAGTTCAAAGGATTCAAGTCTTTATATAATGAACTTTGTCGCAGGATTTGATGCAGTTCTTACTAGTTTAGGAGGTTGCTTTATTGCTCTATAATTGAAGGTTTTATGTTCTTCTAAAACTGGTGGCATTGGTCAAAAACATAATTCAATGCAATGGGTTGGATTGATTAAGATTTATCTACAAAGTGTAGATGGTAATAATGTTACTTCCAAGATACTCAACACCTCAAATATACAGCGTCTTGTCCATTAAAATTTTCCTTCTGAATTCAGTATTCCTTGACTATGCGCGTGTTTTCTGTACTCTGTGTTTTTAAAGTTTAAAACTTTTTATTAAACACCAGCTATTTTAATTAATTATCTGCATTATTTTCTCAAGGTGATCTCAGTTTATCTGATGGACCAGTTAATGTGAAAGAAAATTGAGACCCTTAATCGAAACCAACACAAAATTATTGATCTTTGGAGTTGCAAGTCTTTTATATGAACATTGAGTTTCATTTTAATCCTATCAACAATTTCGGTGTATCTTTTGATTCTTAAAGTTTTCTGATAATTAAGTTTTTGAATATTAACCTTTAAATGATGACTTGAAATAAACATTGTCTTAAAAGAGTACCCCAACGAAGAACAGAGACTTCAAAAGTAGACTTCAAAATTATGTTTGAACCTTATCAAAGTCTAAATATAATATTTTTAGAATTTAAAAATAGTAATATCATATTTTTTAACTAATTGACTGATTGACATTATGTTCTTTGAATATTTAAATATATAATAATATTATAATTTAATTATAAATATTTATAAATTCAGTTTAAATTATTAATTTATAATTCAACAATTTAATATATAAATATAATAATTATTTTTATTTATTTAAAAAAATATATTAATTAATATATAAAGATACAGAAAATATTTATATAATTAAATTTTTTAATGTAAAAATATAAAATTTTATAAATAATTTTTTTATTTCACATTTATTGTATTTGTGTGGATTTCATGATCACTATATTTATTAGGATTAATGAAGATATTCTTCTAATTAATTTCTTTAAATTTATATTATGATAATATACATAATTAATGTTATATTGTAAATGATTACTTAAAATATTTTATTTATAAATAGGATTATTATTTTAATACTTATTTTCTATTTATTATCTCAATATTTTTATTTTTATATTGATTTAATGTGTTCATTGTGCATACTGACTAAACTTTTTAACTAATCTCTCCTAAGATCATTGATTAGTGTAATATTCTTATCATAACTGAGTTGTTTATAATTTAAAATAAGTTTGAATTTGTTCTAAGATTTTATACTTTAATAAATAAATAAACATATTTTAGAATGATCAAAATTTTCAATTATAAAAGATGGTTAAAGTTGAACTTCACCAAATTGGTAATTGATAAAATTATAGGAAAAATAATACAATTAAGTATTTGATTCTCTTAGTTGAAAATCAACCATTTATTGTAATTTAAAAAAATATTATTTTTTAAAATATATTTTTTTTAAATTATATATCAAATCAGTTTATTTAAAATTGAAATAAGTTGTATTTACGTGGTTTAAATTTAAAATATACATATTTTAGTTTTTTTTAATTTAAAAATATTTATAAATACTTTATTTTCTTTAAAATCAGTTACCGAGCCAAAAATAATAAAAAATAATTATATTTTAATAACTGATTGAAAAAAATAATAATAAATAATTCATTATAATAATATAATAATAAAATCTATTATTATATTGTTATAATAGATTGTTTATTGGTTTTGTTCTGATCGTTGTATCAAAATATCATTAATGAATAATTTAGCCCAACCCAATAAGCATGTTATACTTTACCAACTTTAATAAATACAAAATTTCAGAAGATTAAGTCCTAATATTTTATTTATTTAATCATACTTGTCTTAAATACACCTTCTTCTTTTTTTTTTACATAACATACAGATTTAATGATGCTTTAAAAAAAAATACAAATATATTGTATAAAAAGCAACCTTCAAAACAAAATAACTCCAATTGATACATGTTAATTTTCCACGAGGGAAACAATCTTTCTTGAAGTTTACAAATATTTTAAATAAAATGTGAATTTTATTAGAAAAAAAAACTAAAATTTATTATGCAAATATTAAAAAAATTAACGTTTATTAGAAAAAAATTATAATAATTGTCATCTTCTTTATTATTACTATTATTATTTGAAACAAAAGCTTTTCCATATAATTTTATTTTTTATTTTTCATTTCTATTTTTAATGTATCCACTTTTTTACATACCATTTGTTTCTTTCTGGTATGTTTATTATTTTAAAATATATAAATTAGCATTTATATCAAATATTGTTTTTCTCCTTTTTATTATTTTTAGTTGTGTTAGATTCTTTTCTTTCTTTCCTTTTTCTTTCCTTTTCAATTCTACATGGTTATATATTGTTTGTATGGTGTGAAGTTTTAATAAAAAATAGATGAATTTCATGCACGTACGTGAACAATAAGATGTATCAGAAAGAGGACTATCGGTTGTGATAAGAGTGAAACAGATTTAGCACATACATTTATTAGTATAAGCTAGTTGAACCAATTATCCTCTGGAAAGTTTGCTGTAAAATAACAAAGTGTTAGATTCAAAAAGGAGATGATAGTGTAAGGTTTAGATCAACTTTTTTTAATATAAATCAAATTTACATGAAAATTGGGAATGAAAAGATGAATATCATGAAAAATTAAGGAATCTGACAACATGACAACATTGAACAACATTGGACAAAGTAATGAAGATAGGTGGAATAGATTTATGAATGACAAAACTGTGAAAATCAAAAATGATATGATCAGTGACACCTATATCTATAAGCCACTGAGGAGATGTTTTAACTGAAAAAACGGAAGGAGTTTTAAGAAGAGTGAAGAAGAATTAATCGAAGGAGTGAACACCACATTTGTTGTATGAGTAGGAGATTTGGATTGTTGCAAAAAAGTTAAAATGTCATTATACTACTCTTTAGTAAATTTAGGCATTGGCCGTAAGATCTCATGAAGGTTGGTAGTAATAGGGTCTAATGAAAAAACATTAGAGGCAACAATATTGGTCATGCGAGCAAACTTGTTTTGATATCCATGAGAACTTTTCCCTCCATTATATTTGTCACGACCCTCTGAAAAGAAATGACCTTTGTCTTGTCCTTGATGTTCGTATAAATCTTCTTAATACGAAAAATATCTCCTTGATGAAAGCGATGATACAAATCTTGTCAAAAGTCGAAAGCATGTTCGATGTAGAGAATGGATTTAAGAATGGTTTCATGCACCGATCGTTGGATCCAAGAAACAACCATTTTGTTGCAACTATCTCAAGGTTCATGAAGAGGGTTGCTTGATGATGATTCGGAGAGAGTGTCATCGACCAATTTCAACTTATTCTTAGATTTGAACACAAGTTTCATGGTATGGGCCCAAACATGATAATTCTTGTCATTCAACAAGGTGGAGACAAGAACGAGAGTAGGGTTTTCATTTTTTATTGGAAGGAAGAAAAAAGGGATTTGTGTGAAAGTCAGTATAGGGTTCGGACATCATAAGAAAAAAATAACATTTGATACTTTTTCTGTCCAGCAGCTTAGTCAATTCATGGCTCAGCCTCTTGATGTTCATTATAAAGCTATCATCTGGGTTCTTAGATACTTAAAAAGTTCACCTATCTAAGGGTTATTTTTTTCTGCCTTTACTTTCTGCTTTTATTTATTCGTACTAGACTTATTATTTGGACACTTGCCGCTCGATCACCAGATTTTGTGTTTACCTTTATTCTTCCTTGATTTCCTAGAAATCCAAGAAGCAATCTATTGTCTCTCGTTCATCCTCCAAAACAGAATATCGAGCATTAGTTAGTCTCACTTGTGATATTCAATGCTTACATTATCTTTTCTGTGATCTTCATGTTTCATTGGGTCATACTGCAGTCTATTGTGACAATCAGTCTGTTATTTACTTAGTTCATAATCCTCTGTTTCATGAGCGTACTAAACACATTGGTATTGATTATCATGTGGTACGTGAGAAAATTCAACAAAACTTAATTCATCTTTTTCATATTTCGTCTTTCAACCAATTTACAAATACTTTTATAAAACATCTTCATCATACTGGTTGACAATTTTATATCTAAGTTAGATCTTTGTAACTTCCACCATTTTATTTGAAGGAATATTAATATAATTATTTTTTTATAATAAATCCTATCTTTTCTCATTTGTACTTGTTATAGTTTTTTTTCTTTGTTTATGAGCTTTTATATATATATATATATATATATATATATATATATATATATATATATATATATATATTTTTTATGATGCGAAATTTTAATAAAAAATAGATGAATATTATAACACTTATATATTTTTTTAATTATAATATTTTTTTCCACCACCAAAAATGGATTATAGAAAGGAATTTATATTTCATATAACCAGTGGAAACAACAGTCTGCCATGCATGTCCATTTTTTTTAATTAATTTCTTTTAAAGTATTTTTAATTTTATTTTGTTTTTTCTCTTCACTCTTTAATTGTACTCACTCTCTCCACTAATTATATATTATATTTTTTCTCTCTCATATTATTAATATTTAAAATATATAAATCATAATAAATGTTTTTCTTTAAAATTACAGTATATTTTTATTTTTCTCTATCTGATTATATTAAAAAATGTACAACCAACGTCTTGAAAGTTGTAGTGATGTTTTTTTTATAATTAATTTTTTAAAATATTATTTTAAATTTATCGTTTCTTTTCTTTTCACTCATTAAATATATTCATTTTTTCTTTTTCTTTTTTATTTTTACTATGTTTTAAATATATAAATCATAATACTTATTTTTTTGCTTTAAATTA